TGTAAATCTTTACGGGAACAGAAAGCCTCATCTTTCTCCTGCGGAGCAGCTGGTAGTTTCGAACTGCTGACCTTGTGGTTCACAGCCCGATTCGTAACTACTACGCTTCCATATATATATATGGAAGCCCTGGTGGCACAGTGGTCTGAGCATTGAGCTGCTAAAAGAAAGGTCAGTGGTTCGAATCTACCAGCCACTGCTCAAGAGAAAGATAAAGCAATCTTCTTCTGTAAAGATTTACAGCCTCATTAACTCTAAAGAGCAATTCTACTCTCTTCTATGAGTAGGACAGTAGGAACTGACTCGATGGCAGTGGGTAAATATATGGATATGTACACACACACACACACACACATATATATATATATATGGAATTCTGGTGTGGAGCTGCACGGTAACATGCTAGACCGCAAGGTAAGTTTGAACCACAAAGTCAGTCGTTCAAACTCACCAGACACTGCTTGGAAACCCAACACAGGGTCGCTATGAGTCAAAACCAATTCGATGGCACAAAACAACATGCATGTGAATATGAATATACATGAATATATGAGCAGCAGGCTTCCAAAAGTTCATGGAGGAATGGAATTATGAGATAATTGAATTTTCTACAAACTGTTTGAAGCCGCCTCATAGATATATGTGCATAAGTATGTTCATAAAAAATGGACTGTATGACTGGGATCCTAAAAGCTCCTGAGCAGTCACCTAAGGTGCAACTATTGTTCTCTCCATGTGCGGACAAAAGAAGAATGATGAAAACTAAAGACACTTGGAATCAATTAGTTCAATGGATTAATGGAACACGTGAACTTCAGTCTTCATGATGCTGAGACCAAAAGAATTAGACAATGCCTGGCTACCACTAATAACTTCTCTGAAAAGGATCATGTGAGAAGGTCCTGGATAGTGAGAGGAAATATGGAACAAAACTTAAAATCATTAAAAAATCCAGGCTCACTGGTCAGAAAGTTGGAACCTTGAGACTATGGCCCTTGGTCACCCTTCAGGTCTAGAAATGAACTCACCCCTGTAACTCAATTTTTAGCCAGGCGACAGATAAGTAAATAGGGAGGGCAGCAACAGCAGTGAGGTATTCACACCACAGAATGACCAACCATTCAAGGTCAAAAGGGCAGCATTTACGCAAGAACAAAAATCAGAAGGCTTGGGAAAGCAGGAACAGAAACAAGAACCACAGGGAGAAAGTGAAAGAAGTGAGGCCACACGGAGGGGACGGCAGTCACTGAAATGAAACAGTGTATGGTTTGTTGCATGAAAAACGGATGGTCTGTTCTGTAAATCTTCATTCAAGTCACATAAAAAGTGAAAAAAAAGTAAAGATGAGAAGATGAGGGGACAGGCAAACTACAGTGCTGAAAAGGAAACAAACTGAGCATAATGAAAGGGAATGTTGACTTATTGCGATAAATGTAACTAACACCACCAAATTCTTTGTGTGGAAACTGTCAAATGGGAACCTAACTTGCTGCGTAAACTCTCACCAAGAATTCAATAAAACATTACTTAAAAACAAATGGGCTAGAAAAATACATAAACTATTGCCAATGGTTGACCCTAGCTTGTGAAATCAGGGGGAACTGAAAAGACAACTTTTCACTTTTTACTTTTGACACTTTTGTATTATTTGAACTTGTTACAGTTTTATTATTGTCCTGTTATGCATGCCCACGCCCCCAACACTGCAAGACCATTACATATCCCTGTCCCTTGCCTTGTGACTTGCAGTGTCTCCTACAGAATGAGTACAGATATCCCCACCCACTGCTATTAGACTTGGCCATGAGACTTATGGCAGCTGTCTGGTCTGAGCAAAAGTTCAGAAATGACAAGATGTATGAAGTAGAAGTAGAGCTGCCACTAACCCACAGCATGTAACATTAATAAAAAATACATCTTTGTAGTCACAGGAGTCTGGCGGACATTTGTTACTACAGAAAAACATACAAATCTCTATGAATAAAACTTTAAAACACTAAGAAGGATTTGAATACATGAAAAAAGCAATACCATGTAGCTTAGCAAGAAGACCTAACATCGCAAAGTGTAGATTATCACAAAATTAATCTATATATTTAATGACTTCCCAGTGAAAAATCACAGACACACATATGTGTTCATGCTCCTAAATTTGCTTTGGAAAAGTAAGAGCAAAAATTAGAAAAATGCTGATACAGAAAGTATTAAAGTAAGATTAATTCTGCCAGATGCTAAAATATAATTCACCACCACAATAAGCAGGAACTAGACAAATCAATGAGAGACTACAAAAGTACAGCTAAAGACCCACATAGAAACAGAAATTCAGTACATGATAAAACTGACATTGCAAATCAAAGGAGAAAGGACAGCTAATTCAATAGACAGTGTTGAACATCTGGGTAGCAAAATGAAAATAAGTTGGACCTCTACATCAAACCTTGCACTGGAATAAATTCTAAATGATTTATATGTCTAAAACGTGAAATCATAAAAACACACATGTAAAAAAGCATGGAAGAATCTTTTTTATAATCTTAAAGTGAAGAAAAGAGAAAGAACAAAACATTACAGCTATAAAATAAAACTTTCAAGTATATAAAAAGAAAAATTTCCTGCAAGGAAAAGAACATAAAGTCCAAAGACAATCAAATGGGAAAAATTATGTACAACTCCAAACCAACACCAAACCCACTGTCATCGAGTTGATTCCGACTCACTGGAATTCTGTACAGCGTTTCCGAGGTTGTAAATCTTCACAAGAGTAGAAAATCTCATCTTTGTCTAGCAGATATACAGCTCATCAGACATTAATTTCTTAAGTATATTGTTGTTGTTGTTAGTCGGTTCTGACCCATAGCAACCCTGTGTAGGGTTTCCAAGGAGCAGCTGATGAGCTTGAACCACCAACCTTGTGGCTCAAACGCTTTCGCAGTCCAGCACCTTAGCCCAAAGTACTACACCAGGACTCCTTAAGTTTATAGAGTGCTAGAGTGCCTCAAAAAAAGAAATAAATAAAACAAACCACCACCCAATTTTTAAAATGAGCAAAGGATTAAAAAATATGTCTTAAATTTATTAAGAGAGGATCAATCTCACTCGTACAAGGAAAGACTGAAGATAGCAAAGATCAAAACATCTGACAACATAGTATGAGGGCAAGGGTACAGGAAAATAACATACTGCACTTTAACTGTCAGCAATTTGGCAATACCAAGAAATAAAAATGCCATTTCAAGGAATTTATACTGTCATCTATTCATACCTGTAATCTAGGCAATATCAAACAAGTAGTAATTTTGAGGAAGATTCAACGCCAGGCCAGTATGTGTAAGAAATCATGCTGCTATTCACACACATTTGTATTGCACAGTAAGAAGGCTAGAAAAACGCAAAGTGAACTGGTGGTGTTATTAAGTGCCGTCAAACCGGTTCCCACACATAGCGACTCTGTACAGGGTTTCCAAGGAGTGGCTGGTGAGTTTGAACCGCCAACCTTGTGATTCAAGCAGACTTTGCAGTTCAGTGCTTTATCCCACAGAGTCACACCAAAACTCCAGTGAAATGGTAACACTACATTATTTCTGAAATGGGGCTCAAATTACAAAGAGGTGAACAGAAATTTCTGACTGATCTGTATTTAATGGGCATTTTAAAAACCTGTTCCCAGAGCTCAGAGTTATGCAGTACCTGTATTAACTGAGATGCCTTCACCGTTCAGCTCAGACTCTACAGGCATCGAACTACCTGCCAGGGCACCCCTGTCTCTGTCTTTGTCCTCGTGGTCGCTGTCCTCATCCTCGCTGCTACTGTAGTAGTACTGCAGCTTTTCTCCCAGCAATTTATCATCCAAGGTCGTCATGGTGCCTAGAAGAGGGCAATATATCAAGCTTTCTGCTGGCTTGAGCTAAACAGACATGATTCTATTAGATAGATTCAATATATTAAGATTCAAGTTACAGGACCCTATAAATGATTTTTCTCATAACCAGAATCTCAGTGAATCTCTTCCATGACTCTGGGAAACGGTGCTTACTATGCTCTTTTAATAGAAAGTAAAACAGGCTAAGAAAAAGAAAGTTTCTTTGCAAACTACAGAAAATAGTGGTTGAGATCAGACCCTGGGGCTACTGGACTCTGAGACACTGTCTTCTGAATAATGTACATTTGTACTAGTACACTGGTTAGGAAGACTCTAGTATACTGACTAGGGACTTTATCTAAACTTACTTTTAGATTTTCCTACCAACTAAAACTTCTGGGCAATTTCAAAACTAGGTAAGAATCCCCAAGAAAATCTCCAAAAAGATGCATCAAGAGTATGATGCTGAGTTGCTTTGTGCCTAAATCAATCACCTCCGAGTCCTGGCTTCAGTATCCTAGACAGCACACTCAAGGATTCTCTCTACAGTCCTGTCAACTCTGAATGGTTTAAAGAACCATAGGATAGGCCTAGCTTCTGCAATGGAATAAGCATTTCGAAAGATGCAACCTAGTCCCTTAGAGATCTGCCTGAGGTTCCAACTGGCAAAACAAAAACAAAAAAACCCCTCTAGTACTGCTTCCTCCAAACATCCAACACTATACTGCCTTCATTAAAGACTTATCACCTGGACCTGCCATATTTCATTACCAAGGGACGCTGTCCCACAGTTTCAAGAACGTTTGAGAACAAGGACCTCCTACAGCTAAACTTCCCGAATGCACAACACCGGGACCCTGGCAATCAAACAGCAAGCGCGAAGCTAAGGAATTGCGGTTTACTGACAGCAAGGGTAAGGATTCTCAAGTAGGGGGCTTAGAGGGGCCAAAGGGGTGCATCTTGAGCCAGGAGGGCTGGGTTAGGGGAGCCGGTAAGGGCGGTAACAGAGGCAGCGCCTAGGCATCGACAGCACGGGAGCGCTGCGGGTGCAAAAGCAGCCAGCCAACCGGCGCGCGGGGGGGGGAGGGAACGACGCGAGGGTGGGTCCAACTGGTTACCAGCCAGCGGATGCAGGGCCGCTGAGGGGTTCCCGACGAGGGCAAGGAAGCAAAAGGAGGTGGGGGGCATGCGGAGACTTTAGGGGGTGCGGTGGGTCTGAGACCAGTGTGGAAAGCGGGTATAACAAGGAAATGGCGCAGACCGTGGGGAATAAGAGTGTACGCAGACAAGGCTGTTTTTCCAGGCCCACTAGTCACTCTCCCTCCCGCACTCCATGTTCACCGCTTCTTCCTGGCCGATCCCAGTGCGGTTACCTGATTAATTCCTCCGGATCGCTACGTGCTGGCAGCTCTGAGCAGCGAGAAGAAACGGAGACCGCTTGGATGCAGAAAGACAAGAGGGTGGGCACCAGGAAGGCTGAGAATAGTTGCCGTAGCGCCGACAGCGCAAACCAGTAAGATGGCTTTCCTGCGTCACGGCGGCCATACACTGCCCAATTAGAAGAAAGTTTTCCCGGCGGCCGAATCAGAAACTACGGGATCCAATTTAGGACTAAATACATCAATATTTGTACGCTTCTGTTTGTTTTGTTTTTAGGCAATTGAAGAGTTGTGCTTTGTGTATGTAGTTTTGAGCTCTAAGGAAAATTTATTTGCTTCTATTTAAGTTTCCAAGATGCCTTTTCAACTGCTTCTTCATTGCATCACATCTACTAAGACGGAAAAAAGCAGATTTCGAGTAATTTTTCCAAGTACAGAGTTAGGATTTAAAAAAAAAAAAGTCAGGTCTATGACAACTAAAAGCAAGGTGAAACCCTGGAGTGGAGCCTGAAACAGAAAAAAGGACCTGAATGGGACAATTGGCGAAATTTGAATAATTTGTGTACTATTATTGTTGGAAGGAGCTCTAGTAGCGTAGTGGTTACGAATCAGCAGTTTGTTCCGCAGGAGAAAGATGAGGCTTTCTGTTCCCATAAGGATTTACAACCTCGGAAACCCTGTTCAGGGTCGCTATGAGTAGTCGGAACCGACTCCACGGCACATAACAACAACAACAATATTGTTGGAGTCCTGGTGTGGCGTTGTAGGATAAGCACTGGACACCAGCCGCTCCTAGGAAACTCTTTGCTGGGTCGCTATGAGTTTGAACCGACTGGATTGCATTTAACAACAATATTGTTATTTGTAAGATTAGAAATGGTTAATCCTACTCTGTTCTTTGGATGTATTGTCAGAAAGGAACGGTCCTTGGAGAAGGAAATCATGCTTGGTAAAGCAGAGGACCAGCGAAAAAGAGGAAGACCCTCAATGAGATGGATTGGCACAGTGACAGCAGCAATGGACTCAAGTGTGGCGACAATTGTGAGGTTTGCCCAGAACCTTCTGTTGTGCATACCGACAGCTCTGAAACCTCTTAACCATAGGTGACCCTGCTGGTATTTGAAACACCAATGGCATAGCTTCCAGCATCATAGCAATGCTCAAGCCACCACAGTATGCCAAACTGACAGAGTGAGATATTACTGCTGACTTCAGATGAATCTTAAATGAAAGCAGAGAATACCAAAAAGGTATTTACTTGTGTTTTACTGCCTATGCAAAAGTATTCAACTATGTGGATCATAACAAACTATGGATAACATTTGCTAAGAGTGGGAATTCCAGAACACTTAATTGTGCTCATGAGAAACCTATACATAGACCAAGAGGCAGTGGTTCAAACAGAACAACGGGATGTTGTTGTTGTTAAGTGCCGTTGAGTCGGTTCCGACCCATAGCGACCCTGAACAGGTTTCCGAGGCTGTAAATCTTTACGGGAGCAGAAAACAGCTGGTAGTTTCTAACTGCTGACCTTGCGGTTGCGCAGCTTAAAATCAAAAGAGGTGTTTCTCAGTATTCTATCCTTTTGCACAACATTTATTCCATCTGTATGCTGAGCAAATAATCTGAGAAGCTGGATTATGTAAAGTGGAGTATCAGGAGTGGAGGGTCATTAACAACCTGTGATATGCAGATGACACAACCCTGATGGCTGGAAGTGAAGAGGACTTGAAGCACTTACTGATGAAGATAAAGGATATAGCTTTCAGTATGGATTACACCTCAGTGCAAAGAAAACAAAAGTCCTCACAACTGGACCAATACACAACATGATGATAAATGGAGAAAAGTTGTCAAGGCTTTCATTTCACTTGGACCCCAAATCAATGCTCATAGAAGCAGCAGTCAATCAATCACAAGGTATTGCATTGGGTAAATCTGCTGCAAAAGTGTTTAAAGAGCAAAGGTGGTGTCACTTCAAGGACTCAAGCTCACCTGCCCAAAACCAAGGTATTTTCAGTCATTTGTGGCGCTGTAGGATAAACACTGGATCACAAGGTGGGTGTGAACTGCACGGTCCATATCTACCAAGCTTTCCTTGGAAACCTTATACAGGATTGTTATGAATCAAAACTGACTTGACAGAACTAAACAACAAACAGCACACACGTGTGAAAACTGGACAGTGATAAGTGAGGAGAAAAATCGATGCATGTGAATTATATACATTGAAAATGTCATTGACAGAACACCAAACAAATCTGTCTTGGAAGATGTACAACCAGAATGTTTCTTAGAAGCGAGGATGGCAATACTTGATCTCTTGTACTTTGGACATGTTAACAGGAGAAGCCAGTCCCTAGTAAAGTACATCATGCTTGATAGAGGGCCAGCAAAAAAAGAGGAAGCCCCCTATGAGGTGGATTAACACAGTGGCTGCAACAATGGGCCCAAACATCATAATGATCATATGGATGGCATAGGACCAGGCAGTATTTCTATGCATTGGAGCAACAATACTGTTGTTAGGTGTCAACAAGTCGCTTCAGACTTGTTTGATGAGTGAATAATCTTAATTGACATTTTGTGAATTGCAGATTTGAATATAAAACTTGTGATCTGCTTTAAGTGACAGCTAGTACTCAGCAACACTGCCTATGCCTAGCTGCGTGCCCGAGTAGATTCCAGTCCTGTAGCGTAGATAGGACAGCTCCATAGGGTTTCTTAGACTGAGATCTTTACTCAAACTGCCAACATATTTCTACAATGGAGCAGCTGGTAGGTTTAAACAGCCAGACTTTTAGTTAGCAGCTGAACTCTTAACCATTACACCAGCTGGGTTCCTTGTGCATAGAAGAGATTTTCATAAATATTTAGTAAATGAATGCTTCATGAATGCTTCTTAAATTTTTATTGTGATAAGCAGTTTAACGTTTGCCTTTTTAATCAGTCTTAAGTGTACATTTCAGTAGCATTTACACTCACCATCTTGTATAGCTATTATTCTATTTCCAGAAGTTTTCATCACCCCAAGCAGAAAGTACAATGATTTCTCAGTTTCCCCTTTTCCCAGCCACTAATTACTGTCTCTATAAATTTGTCATGTAAGTGGAATCATATAATGTTTGTCTTATTTAATTTAGCATGTTATCAAGGTTCATTCATGGTGTAACATGTATCAGGATTTCATTTCTTTGTATGCCTGAATAATATTCCATTTATGTATATATACCTTACATATGTATATGTATACATTTTGTTTATTCATTCATCGGCTGATGGAATTTGGGTGGTTTCCACTTTTTGACTATTACAAGCTACAATGAACATCTGAGTGGCCGGCTTTCAAATCTTTCGGGTACCTACATGGGAGTGCTGGGTCATATCATTCTGTTTAACTTGTTTGGGAATTACCAAGCTGTCTTCCACAGTGGTTGCACCAATTTACATTCCTACCAGCAGTGCATGAGTTTTCTCACTTTTCCACATCCTCACCAATACTTTGAAGCTTCCCACGTGCTTCCAAAATGCAGAAAAAGGTGGGGACTACTACCATATAGTGACGCTTCTAGACTAAAATAGACTAGGAAGAACACCTGGCAATCTGCTTCCAAAAAGCAGTCAA